TTAGTAAAACTCGATGGCGGTCTAAAAATGATGCGGTTATTAAGATGTTTGGTCGTAATGATATATGGAATGAAATAACCAAGAATGATGACAGAAAGCAATTTGTATATGTGTAAACTGTATTTGCACTTTATGAAATTTCTGTTACTAATGATTTTTCAAACACCGTAAGAAGTACAGCTCAAAATTTACTAGGTCGACTTACCAGTTATGAAATAGTAATAACACCAATGATGATTATTGCAAATATTTAAGTTTAAAACTGCTCTATTTGAATAATTACAAATATCTGGTCTGGATTATATTCAAGCATGGAAAATAATTGATTGAACAATAAAGTCTTTAAAAGAAAATCAAAGAAAACTATTACCAGTCAGCGCAGGAGAAAAAATGATCATTGAATTTGTATCCAGTGTAATTTGGGAAGGTAAGTCAGACATTGCTATAAAAATAGAGCTTCCTGAAAAGAGAAGAAAAACTATTCTAAAACGTTAAGGAGAAAATTCAAGAACTAACCAAAACATAGCAGATGAAGATACTCTCAAAAGGTTTGTGAAATCAAAACATTTAACGTAGTTATGGATAATAATATTGCTTGCTTAGCATGTAGATTCGGGTAGTAAAGAACTTTATATAGAAACTTTTTTATAAAATTAAATTAAAAAGTAGATTTTGTTTATTATTTTGATTCATGTTATTTTTTATAGTTTTTTCCTAATGTAAGAAATGGGTAGATAACCTGGATATTGTTATAGGCACACATGGAACCCATAACTAGTAGTAAGTATATTGTATATAGTAATTGGGCACTAATTATATTCAGTTTCCCGGTAGGGAAAATGGATCCAGTATGCGCCTGTAGGTATAAAATACTCTTCTATCTTAATAGACCCAACATTGGATGTTTCACATTCAGACTAGTTAACATTGGATGTTTCACATTCAGACTAGTTAACATTGGATGTTTCACATTCAGACTAGTTAACATTGATAATTTGATATTTAATAGCAAGTTGATCAATTGAATGCTTTATAAAATTTATTTCAATATATGACCATATTGATGAGATTTTTAAAAAATTACTTCTTGTATCTTTAGAAAAGAATGGCATAAGCATTACTAATTGTAGAGGGATATCGTATGACATTGTCCATAATAATTGCCTAAATAAGAACAATTGAACAACTTCATAATATTACTTAGGCTCAAGGTCTGCATGGTATATTTCTATCTAAATGCACAATTTTTGATAGCAAATTATTATATGTTAAAGTAATAACTTGAGACAAAAATAAAATCTATCATCAGAAACGCTGAAAGCAGAGATATTCTGATTCAAGACTGATAATTGCTGATTCAAGACTGATAATTGCAGATATTCTGATTTTTTTTTTTTTTTAATTTTAATTCACCTCCTCAAGGCCGAGAAGGCCACTACAGACGAGGAGGCTACTTATTTGTGGTTATAACCCTCTCTCAACTCTATAACTCCGAAACACGAACCTTGACGAGCAAGGCCGCTGCGCGGAGAAACGAGTTGAGCGCGGTACTACCAGGGACGTGGTGGGGATCGAACTCGGAACCACTCGTTTATGAAGCGAGCGCTCTACCACTACACCACTACCGCATTTTGATTCAAGACTGATAATTGATAATTCTGATTCAAGACTGATAATTGAAAAAAATGTGTGTGTATTTTAAACTTGTTTGAAGGTGTTGATCCGGCGTCAACCTTCTTCTGCATAACGATAGTCTCATTTTTTAACTTTTTATTTTTTTATTTTTATGTTTTATTTTATTTCACTGAACTGAGAAAAATAGCCTAAAACAAACTTTTTAAGAATTAGAAAACACTTCGAAGAATTGCCATATCATTGTAGCCATACTCAAATCTAGTTTTGAATCTTGAAGACATTTACTTGTTGTGTCAAATAACTTCTAAAACCATTGACCATACCTAGACCATTGGTCCTGTCTCATACTTGCAGTGAGTTTTTTTGATTGTCACGTGTCAGGTTTTTAAGTGTTGATTTAGACATACAGACAAGAACCTATTGAAATGGTTTACATTCTTTATACAGTGCATCAAATGCATTGTGGTGAGCAGGCCAACGCTTATTCGAAAGTTTTTTTGTTGTCGGTATTCTTAAAGAAGTAAAGTCAGTTAAAATTAGATTCCATTGGTATTGTTAAAGCAGAGAAAAACACAAACAATTTTTTAACAAAATCAAAGAAAAATGCATTTGGGTAGGTGCCAATAGCATTTTGACTAGCAAGGCTTAAAGAATGTTTATAACATAGAATGCATTAAACTGTTTTCTTAGCAAATCTAGGCTTTCATACTATTGTATTTTCCACTCATATTTGATGCAATTTTAAGGTAAAATATTGTGGTGCAGATTTTAAAAGTTTTAGAAAGCTTTTGAAAAACATTTTTGCCGGTATTTTTTTGAGTTTTTTTAAATATAACTCTAAGTAGCAACTTTGATAATTTGTTTTCAAAATTTTCTGAAACTGTTTTATCCTGTTATTTGCTTAGCATAATAATGTTCATTGCCGTAGCAAGCTTTTTTAAAGCTAAACATAATTTGCACCCCCATCCCTAAAAGGCATGGGCCATTTTGTAATATCTATTAAGTTGGTCTACAAGTTACTAAAATTTGTAAATTATATATATAAAGACTTGATCTAATATTTACAGTATTTTGCAATTTTTTTCTAAAAATTTTTTTTAAAAAGACATTTAGCAATAAAAATATAGAATTAATGATTTAGATGTTATAAATTCCACCGCAATGTTTAAATAATTGCTTAATACTTAAGTCTTGCTCGCTACAACCTTGCTAAAGCACTTTTGACTTTATAAAAAAGTGCTATACTTTAAAATAATTTAAATGTATATTTTATAAAACTATAAAACAACTATGACTTTATTGCAAAAGTTTAGGGCAAAATTTCCTGGAAAACTTTTGGAAAATTTTCGGAAATTTTCAACCCTACTCACTAAAAACGATTTAAGATCAACATGGGCCAAGAACGTTTTAATGCCTTGTTGCCGTTATGTATAGAAAATGGACTACTTCAGCCGCCTAAAAAATCTCAAAAAGTTAACGTCTAGAAGTTTAGGACTATAGTAAATATAAGAAGGGTTGAACTCACGAAAAGAAGGGTTAAACTCACGAAAAGAAGGGTTGAACTCACGAAAAGAAGGGTTGAACTCACGAAAACTGCAGTATCAATAAGGAATTATTTGCAATTTATTTCATTGATTTGTTAGTTTGTTTAATTTTTACAAATTTGCATTTCATTAAAAACTACTCATATTAAAAATTTTGTAATTTACAAATTTTCTAATTTTGTTATCATCAGGGGTGAGGAGTTGTATAAAAAAAGTAACGACTCCGACTTTGACTTCAGTTGTTGAAATATTTTGAGTACAACTCCAATTCCGACTCCAGTTGTTGAAATCTTTTGAGCACAACTCCGACTCTGACTCCAGTTGTTGAAATTTTTTGAGTACAACTCCGACTCCGACTCCAAATCCAAAGCAAAATTTTTGAAAAATTCTTTGAATTTTTTAAAAATTACGCGATAAGTTAAAAATTTATTTTTTGACAAATTTATGAAACGTTCTATGAGGTTTAGTATCAACATAAGGTTAATTGAATGTTTTGTACATGCACGTGCAATACCGAGAAGTTTTACTATTGGAGTCGGAGTTGCGATTTTGTTTAGCGACTCCGACTTGGAGCACATACTCCCCCTTACCTTTTTTCTAAAAGACATTTATTTTTAAGAAAATTCAAGATATAGAGGACTTGAGAATATGATGATTGTGCCCCTCCACTTTGAAATCCGTATCGTCGGCCACGGGATCCAAAGTTTTTTGATGCCCAAGGTTTAAAAGCTTTAGTGTAAACTTTCTGTAGTTTATATTGTTGATTAAATTAGGATTGCAAAACTGACTACTGAATAATGATTACTAATCACTTTTTTTCAAAATTTGGTAAAAAAATTGATCGACGTGTAAATGTTAGAACTATTTTGATATTTACTATCTTTCAAAATAAAAAATTTTGTACTAACTTATAATCACCTGCAAGTCATCTTTATTTGACAACAGTATAAACTAAAAATGTTTAGAGTTGTTAAAAAAATTAAAAAATAAATAAATAAAATTACCAGTCAGGGGTCGTCCATATATTACATCACGCTTTTTTTTTATGTCACACATTACCGTTTTTGACCTCTTTCCTCCTCTTGTTACAATATCGTAACTCTTTAGCACACTTTCCCCTCCCCTAGAGCGTAATGAAGTTTATGGAAAATCCATTAGTGAAAGTCTTAACAAAGAACACACATTTACTGTTATCAATTGACAAATGTATGATGGCAAATAACTACATAAAACCTCAACTAGACAATAATGTTTAATTATGTTTAATTATATTTAATTATGCTTAATTATGTTTAATTATGTTTAATTATGTTTAATTATGTTTAACTATGTTTAATTGTGTTTAATTATGTTTAATTGTGTTTAATTATGTTTAATTGTGTTTAACTATGTTTAATTATGTTTAATTAAGTATGAGCAATGTATGATGGCAAATAACTACATTAAACCTCAACTAGACAATAATGTTTAATTATGTTTAATTATGCTTAATTATGTTTAATTGTTTAATTATGTTTACTATGTTTAATTGTGTTTAATTATGTTTAATTATGTTTAATTATGTTTAATTATGTTTAATTATGTTTAATTGTGTTTAATTATGTTTAATTATGTTTAATTAAGTATGAGCAATAAAACATCAAAGTTTGAGCACTTTAAAAATCACTATCAAATTCACTTTTGTGCACCATAGCAACAAAATTAATAAAGACGTAGCATTTTTTGTTACAAAAATATTTAAACTTATTAAGATAAAAAAAAAGTTTTGGAACTTTCTTGTTTAGATAAATTATCAAAAAATACTAAAACATTACAAAAAACTAAAATAAAAATTTGAATTTTTTCAGCTAAATAGAGTTTATACCAATAATATTAAACATAAACTAAATACGTTCATCGTTTTTTCGAGATAAAACGGCCAGTGTAATTGCGATTACTAGTAAAGAAAAGCTTAACCAGCCTAACATATATGAAAATCCCATCGCGTAACGATAATTAAAGTCTGAATAAGCGCGATTGACTTCGTAATAAAGTGACAATGCGCCAACTTTTAGACAGACTGAAATAAAAATGAAGACATAAATAAATAAATAAAATTAAAAAACAAAACAAAAAACAGTGTAAATCAATAAATTCTAAAAATAAATATTTGCAATAAAACGTATTTCCTTAAATGGAAAACATATAAGGAAATAGCGCTAAACCAGTCTATACAAAATATTTGTTGAAATGAGATAATTGGAAAAAGTTTTTAAGAAAATTTGCTACACCAACTCAACTAAAAATAATTGCTATGCACACAGTTGTAAAAAATGGCCAAAAAACCACGTTTTACTGACCCGCTGTAGTAAACCGCTTTGAAAGGGTAAAACTAAAATGTCCTGACTCCAAAAATGTTAAATTTGGAACCTAATTATTTATTTAAAAAGTTTAATCTCGGCTTTTAGCGTTTTACACAATAGGGCAAAATGACAGTTTTTTAAATTTCGCATTTTTACATAATATCAAGGTAGCATTGAATCACTTTTCTTTTTACTCATTTTAAGTGTTAAAAAAGCTATTAGCTGAAAAAAAGTGTGTTTCAAAAAATATTTTGCAAAAAATTACAACTTTCAAAAAATATTTTGCAAAAAATTATGAAAAATGTTGGAAATCTGTTTTTATTTTAAGTGAAACAAGTTGACACAATTACTTGTTAAAAACATCTTCAAACATTACCATACAAGTCTTAATTTGAATTATAACAGAGTGCAAAAAAACATCTGTGACAGGTGTCAAACAACTTTAGGAAAAAAGATTTTATCCTTCCACTTTTCATTGCTTTCTCGTCAAAAAAAAGTTAAACCAGCTACAAGAGTTCAAAACTGCAACTGCAACAAATGGGGTTGCACAAATAATAATTAACAAAACTGCAACTGCAACAAATGGGGTTGCACAAATTATAAGGGGGTTGTTATCCTCTTTTTACTCTTCGATTTTTCGATCATTTAATGCAATATGAAATAATAACTACTAACAAATTAAATATAAGTACTAAAAATTATATTAATAATAACTACAAAAAAAAATTCTTTTAAACAAATAAAATTATTTTCAGATTAAAATAAATAATCGCAAAAACATTTGTTGTATATGAATTCCAAAAACTCGCCTATTTTACAGATGTAGAGGTATTTGACAATGGATTTGGTACAAAACAAGTTGCAACACACTCAATTTAATGAAGATTATTGTCGAATAGAGGTAAAACGTGTTTGAATTCAAGTAGAAACACCTGCTTGTCTTAACAGGCTTTCCACCGCTGCATCATTAACACTACATGTCCTGACTGAGTTGTCAAAAGTTGGACATTTAAAGCTGAATAAGAAGAGCCCACTGGACTGGATTCTAATCTGTACTCCCCAACGATGTGGCGATTGTATAAGTTTTGATAGAAGGTCTGTCACAGCAGTGTGCTCCGTTCAAATTTAGGGACAACCTCAAGCAGCTAGCTACAGAAGATTCACTTGCTATAGAATAAATATCTTAAGTCATCTCTACTAAACCTATGAATTCTGGAAGCACTGTCAAAATCACATTTATAAGGTAGCTCACCTTAACACTTTTTATAGTGAAACTCAAAGTTTATAGCAAAAAGGTAAACATTTTTGTTATAAAGTTTATAACAAAAATGTTTACATTATTAGGAAGCTCAAGTGCCAAAAACTTTTTCCTGAACCTAGCATTAAAACTGAAGATCTCGTACAAATACAGATAAATACAGGACTTTCAAGCATGAAAAAATCTGCATCAACCATCTGCAGAGGCAGTGACACTAAGATTATGGAGACAAAATTTTTAGCTAAATTTAGCACAATAAATTATTTACTCAAACCAGCATCCAAGTTATGTATTGCAAGAGCCTTGCCTAGCTTTGCCATGAAGTCCTCTCTTCTCAAAGAGTTTTTAATTTTGATCTATAAGCTGTCTGAATCTGAAAACAATCTTATCTTGGTGCTTATATCACCCATGGAACTCCATTTCCTCCTTGGCGTGGTCAAATACATGTACAAAGCCTTCACAGAAGCTTGGCTCAATGCTTTCAAGTGGCCCTCAGCTCTCTGTATTCAATAAGAACTAAACATGGTATGCAGTTTGCAGGGAATGCCTGTTGGAAAATTCTTAACAATTTAGACCTTTTTTTACAGAGCACCTATAAAACAGTTTAATTCTAGTGTGGCTTTCAGAGTTTGTTTAATCGCCGAGCCCCATATAAAAAAAATTCTACATAGCCGTAACATACAAATATATATCAAAACATAAATCAGAATTAAAACAGAAAATAACAAATAGTATGCTTATATAAGTTATAAAAGCATATTATTATATAACTTATAGAAGCATATTATATAAGATATAATATTCTCATATAAGTTTTACTATGGTGATGAATAAACTAAATACTACTATGGTTAATATTACTATGGTGATGAATAAACAAATTTTTACAAATTAAAATTTACAAGATTTTTTAAAGACTTTAATTCACGATCTTGGATTTTAGTTTTGTTTTGTTAATAACAAGTAAAAATTAATAAAAGTGGGGAGCGAACGGGGGCGAGCACCCTATAAGTTTGAAGTGGGTGGGGAAAACTTTTGAATATTAACAAACGTCACTCTCCTATGTATTAAGAACGCGAGAGTAATAGAATTATTTGAGAAAGTATTTTAATTACTTATATCTTTTTTGTATAAAAGTTGTATCAATGGTGCCAGAGTAAACCATGTGTTTATTCAGTATATAAATTGTTATTTTTGGAGTAACAAATTTGGAGTAAAGTGCTTTTATTGTTTTTGAATGCTGTAAAAATGCTAAACTTGAAAAGCTGTCATCTTGCTTTATTGTGCAAAATACTAAAACTGAAAACTAAAATTGTTTTCTTTGACAAAATAATTAGGTTTCAAAATTTATATTTTTCCATTCAGGAAACATTGGAGTTTTACCCTGTCAAAGTTGTTTTCTTGGATCAGCTTAAAGTAGTTTTGGCTATTTTTTACAACAGTGTACAGTATACTTAAAGATTTTAAGTATTGTAGACCGGGGCTAGTTGGCAGCATAGGTAAATTGAAGTATTGCGTTTATCTTTAGAGCTTTGCATTAAAAGGTACCAGAAGTTACATGGAACCTTTCTAACTGATCATTTCATCTTTCAGAGTGGTATTGTAAAGATTTGCGCTTATGCATAGGGGATATATGGGATTTTGGGATTTTTTTAAACAAAAATGTATTTTTTAAAAAATTGCATTTAGAACGAGCTATTTTGATTTCAATATTACTTTATAAAGAAAATAAAAGGTCGTATAATAAAAAAATAATGCAAAGATCGCCTAGCCACAGTTAATTTACTATTTCCATACAGTTTTTTTTTTTTTTTTTCAATAGTTGTCGTTTTTTAGAATCTTTTGGTTGTTTATTGAAAAAAAGGCTTTTGGGGTTAAGTTGGAAAAATTTTATGTAGCAAGTTGGCTCACAATATTTACGATAAAAAATATACATTTCTTCATATTTTATATTTGTTATAATAATGAGAAAACTTTTTTTTTTAATAAAAAAAGAAAAAAAAACTTCAGCGAATTTTTTTAACTAGAATAAAAATAGAGTACTCTATTTAAAATTAATTACTCTATTAAAATGATTATTATCGTAATAAGTTCAAATTTTATATATTTTTTTTATTACTATATATTTTGGAAACAATTTTAAGCCAAAAGTCTAATATTACTTTGAGCAGGTAGAAATAACAGAATTTATAATAAACCAAAACAGTATGTACTGTTTTGGTTTATTATAAATACTGTTATTTCTACCTGCTCAAAGTAATATTAGACTTTTGGCTTAAAATTGTTGCCAAAATATATAGTAATAAAAAAAATATATATAATTTGAACTTATTACAATAATAATCATTTTTATAGTTTGCATTAATCCCAGGGTGGACCAAGTTAGCAAACGTTTTCCTCGTGGTCCCGGAAGAGCCTGAAGAATTTTTTTTTATAATGAATGCAACTTAAAAATGTTACATAAATTCTTCAAGACTCCACTTTAAATTCTCCAAGACTACACTTTAATACTTACAAAAAAATGTGTGTTAGAGCTACAGAGCTCAAAGAGTAAAAGACAATTAGCTCCGGTCTCCTCTATATTATTGTTTGCAAAGAAACACAACATAAATCATTTTTTAATATAAACTCATTTATTTTATGTTAGTTGTAACGTATACATATACATGCATGACTGGTTTAATGCTTAACCAATTATACTATTTGTTTATATAATTAAAAAGTTTTTTCTATTGTTAAAATATTATCTAAAAGGTAAAAAAAATACTTGCTTGCAAAAAAAACATTCACTGATACAATATCCATGTTAAAGCTTCTCTTTATTATCCACACAATCAGTGATGTCATCAACGAAAGCCACAGAGAACAAATACTTAATATAAACAAAACCCGAACAATCTGTTCATCTCCTAAAGTTTTTTTTACAGAAAATGCCTGTATTTATTTTACATACATTTTTTTATAGAAATTCATTTAAATTGTATATATATATATATATATATATATATATATATATATATATATATATATATATATATATATATATATATATATATATATATATATACACAGTGGCGGAACTACTGGACGCAGGACCCTGCGTTGCGGGGGGGCCTACCAGCTATAGGGGGCCCTCATATAAAAAAAGTTATACTCTCAATAATATTTATACTATAAAACTCTTTTCCGCAAAAAAAACATTCTTTTGCGGGGGGGGGGGGGGGCAAATTTTGAAGTTCCGCCACTATATATATATATATATATATATATATATATATATATATATATATATATATATATATATATATATATATATATATATATATATATATATATATATATATAAATATATAATTTAATTAAAAGAATTTCTGTTAAATTAAGTTAAAGGCTGTTGCTTTTGAAAGTTTTAAAGTAGTATATTTTAATTGAAACTCTAATACTACTTTTTTGTTTTACTACAAACATATTGACAAAAGAAAAACTAGAGTATTTTAAACACTTTTGAGAGTTTAAACGTAAAAAGTTGTATAATCAATTATAAAACAAAATCACAATCACAAGACATATAAACACAATGAAAATTTATTTAAAACAACGTAAAAAACAAGTTAACTTGTTATTTGTAAATAAACTTATTTTTTTAAAGCTTTTAAAAAAAAATTTAAATTGAAAAAAAAAAAAATTAAATAATGAAATAACTTTAAAGAAAACAAGTTTTCTTTAGAGTTATTTTATTTTATCATTAAAAAAAACCCCGTCTGCCTATTTGTGTTAGTCTACTACTTTTTATAGCGATCATTTTAATTATTATTATTTTTTTTTAGTTCAATATTTTTTATCCAGAAAAGTATGAACTAGCACGAGCAATCTTTTATCTGTTAATTATCTTCTCAGCTAACACAAAACGTTCGAGTACGTTCGACAAACGTTGCTAACGTTCGAGCGCGTTCGATAAACATTCATAGAACGTTCTTGAACGTTCGCAAAGTTTGTTGAACGTTTTTGTTAGCAGGATTTGGCTAATATGTCAGTATATTTTAACTTTCAGTAAACAATTCGTTTGCTTCATTAATATATACATGTCAGAAACACCCAGAGTAGTTTACTATAAACTATAACATATATATATATATATATATATATATATATATATATATATATATATATATATATATATATATATATATATATATATATATATATATATATATATATATATATATATATATATATATATATATATATATATATATATATATATATATATATATATTAGGGTGGTGCTTAAAACAACTTTTTTGAGAAAAACCTGCTCGTACCCCCTAAATGTGTTTTATCTAATACAAAAACACATGCCTAAAAAAATTATTCTTAAAAAACCTGAAAATATTGACTTTTTTCATTTTCAGCTTAAAAACAATAGTTTTTATGCATTTATTCCTGAAAAAATTATTTTTATAAAAAATTATTTTCATTTTTAAATTTTTTATATAATTTTGCTTATTTTGAGTACCAGGTTGACATACTTTAGAAAAAGTTTTTTTTTCAAAATATTAGGGACCCGTCAAATTTTTGAGGGCCTTGAGCTACCCCTAAAAATATTTTTTGTTCAAAAAAATTTTAAACCAAGTGTTTTTGTATTAGATAAAACACATTGAGGGGGTACGAGCAGGTTTTTCTCAAAAAAGTTGTTTTAAGCACCACCCTAATATATATATATATATATATATATATATATATATATATATATATATATATATATATATATATATATATATATATATATATATATATATATACGTATATATATATATACGTATATATATATATATATATATACACACAACATATGTAAACTGTATAAACAATATAAGGCTAATATTGTTTGCTATCCGGGATTTATCTGATAAGCTACTACTATTTTTTAATTTTGCCGTCATGAATAATATTAACGGGAAACTTTGTTTAATATGAAAGTATAAAAGATAAAAAGAAATAATAAGAACAGTTAATAAGGTAGACAAAATTTCATAAAATTTAATATTTCGTAATAAGAAACTGACCTGAAAAAGTTTTCAAAACAAAAACTTAATCGAAATTTTAGAAGTCAATATTATATGAAAAACTAAACATGTTTGTGTTTTTGGTAGAAATTAGAAGTGTCAAAACTTCACGCTGCCTTTACCCGGCTTTACCCAACTTTTACCCAGTTTTACACAACATTAAGAGAAAATTGAACATTACTTGTCTCGTTTTCAATCTTTTGACATAAACTTTGTTCAGGAATCTCAATATCTTCTGTTCCAGTAGAACTATTTAAAGCTGCGGACATTGACGAGTTAAACGCAGTTCTATTGAGTTTACTGACATAAAATATATAACACTCGATCCATAATCCTTTATGATAAACTACTTTCAACGGTCTTGAAAGCTCTTCAAACCAGTGATTTGTGAGCAGCGAAGAAAAGGACAAAGCTATTGCAAAAGAAATTATTCCAAATGAAAGAGATCGATGACATTTATTTTTCAATGTTGTCATTGTCAAAATTAATCTAGCATTACATGATCAGGTTATAAGCGTGGAATATCTAATTCGAAACCTTGAATAAAAAGTAATTTAATAGTATTACAAATAGTTTTAAAAAGCAAGAACCTTTGCCGTATTTTCACATTGAATTTTTCACTTCAGATTTAACCAAAATTTTTTCGACTTAATGTACACAAACACAACGGCGATTCGATTGCGAACCATAATGACATTTACTTGCGACTTTTTTTAAACACCAATCTACTACTACGTTACTTTTAACACTACGTTAAACAACTTTTTTTTTTTTTTTTTTGTTAAACAAAGGCTTTTCAAATTTGAATTATTGTCGGAATTATTTGTTAACGAGAATAAAAACTTTCAACAACAACTAAAACAATCTATACATACAAAATTAACAACTAAATAATGTTAATGTCATACTCAAAAGAAAAAAAGAGGAAAACACTGTACAGAGAAACATTTTAACACTTATGTTTATGTCAACTACGTTTTTCCGTTGTGATTGTTTTAGGACAGTTATTCACCACTGAATTCATTTCTGAATTTTTTAGTATAACAAACAATCTTGTATTTGAGTTGTATTTAAGTAATTTTTATTCAGATTTTATTTTAATTTGTATATTTATTTTAACATATAATTTTACCTAAATAATAGTTTGATATCCAAGTCTGCTCAAATTATAGATTTAAAAGAAAACAAGCAATTTGTTATCAATATTTTATAATTACACTCAACGTTCATAAGAGAATTAAAAACTGGTTTGATGGTTGATGTAAAGAAAACATGGTAGACTTAAGTTAAATGAAGCAAGAAATCTGACTGAGAAGAAAATGAATTTCATCTAATACTTTTTTAGAGTTCGTATTTAGGTTGTTTGTCAATTCGCCTAAAATAGTAAATTGTATACTACACAAAGGCGTACCAGAAAAATATCAGAGCAGTACCAAACTTTTTACTTCACCATCTTCAACTTCAACAGATTATCGCGTCTAGATATTTCAATTACTGTAGGTCCTGAATATTGGCACAAGAAATCTAAAGATGACCGATGAAATAGTAACTATAAAACAAAATCAATCTACATATACATATATATGGTTTTCATAAATTTAGACGCACTCATATTTGAGAATAGAAAATTTTAGGTATTTTAACGATAAAACAATAACGAAAAAAGATTTCGGTTTAGTTTTTTTTCTATTTATCAGATAAATACATACAGAATACAAAATTTAAAAAAAGTTTACAAAAAAAATGAAATACTCAGTAATAATTAGGTACAACTACATGGTATTAAAAAAATTAGACAAAAAAAATTATTCATAAATTTAGACGCACGATACATTAAAAGGCGTAATTTATGAACCAATCAATATTTTGTGTATCCGCCTTTTGCTTTAATACAACTAAGAACACTTCTTGGCATAGACTCAACAAGATTTTTGCACATCGCTTCTGGGACCCCATACCAGGTCTCCTTAAGGAATTCCCTCAGCTGACCAAGTGTGGAAATTTGAACCTTTGCTAATTCACGATCAATCCAAGCCCAAATGTTTTCAATCGGGTTCAAATCAGGTGAATATGGAGGCCACGGTATTGTCATAATATTATTATCGTTGAACCACTCCTTTGTATAGTATGCCGTATGTGCAGTAGCGCTATCTTGTTGAAGTTTCCATGCTTTATCATTGAGCATAAGCAGGTCAATTGATGGAATTAGGTTGTTTTCCAGTACTTCTACGTATATTCTGGAGTTGATTCTTCCGGTGTTTGGCACATACCAACACCTTTGTAATTGAAGCATGACCAGATTCCTATCGAGCCTCCTCCACTTTGTACAGTTGGTCTAATGTACCTGGCGTAATACTTTTCGTGAGCCATTCTTTTGACTGTTATGATAGATTTGCGATTGATAAGCTCAAAGTTACTCTCATCACTCCACATAATGTTTTCCCATTGATCTATTGTCCAATACCTTCTTTCACGACACCATTTTAGTCTCCTTTGTTTATCATATGGACGCAGAAGCGGTTTCTTCAAAGTGTAGACTCCAATCTTGTATTTGATAAGTATTCGGCGGGCTGTGCTTTGAGAAATAGATGTATTTCGCGTTGTATTGAATTCTGTGGTCAATTCTTTGTAACTAATTCTTAGATTAGCTCTGACAGCTCTAAAAAAAACACTATCATCCTTTCTCGTGGTTGACAAGGGTCTACCTGGCGTCGTTTTCTCGCTAGCACCACCAGTGTGAAGAAAGTTTTGTTTCGTTGTCCGAACGCATTTCTCAGAAACTCCAATTAACTTGGCGATTTCTCTATTACTTTTGGTTCCTTCTTTGATGTGCGCAATAATTTGCCATCTTTCACCTTAAGTGATACGTCTTTTGCCCATTTTTTACGTTTTTTTAGTGCAAAACTAACTTAACTTTTGTTTATTTATTAAATAATGATTAAATAATTCCAGGTAAGTCATATTTATATAAGGTTTTTTGACAAAATCAATTAATTTAGGCCTATTAATGAGAAATATAAGAAAAAAACTACTAATTAACTATCAATTAACAAGATATAAGACCTTTAATTGTGCGTCAAAATTTATGAACAAAATAAAATCAAGTTTATCAATTAACTTTTTTGTGTTAATCGGTATAAAATGAGTAATAAACATCCTGTAAAAAAAATTAAGGTACTCTATAATAGAGTTTCATTTCCTCTTTTAAATTATATATCAAACATAGCGGTAGCACTTTTATTTTACTTTTATTTTGAGTATTTTCTTACATATATGAAAAAAAAAATGAATGCGTCTAAATTTATGAAAGCTACTGTATAAGTCTATAATATTGCATTATGAAATTTCAATCATTTAAGCTATAACCAGCTATTGTAAAAGCGTATTCATGCAGAAACATGTATTCAAGTGATCAATATTGAAATTTGGCCGCCGTGCTTCAAAGTTGCGTATGTAAAGAAATCTTAGGAATTGCAAATATTTTATATTCAGTTATAACAAACTTTTAACGTAGAAACTTTTCGTATGTGTTTTCAAAACTCAAAGTTGCAAAACTGTAAACGGTTTATGGAAAAAGGGCGTCGGTTTCAAAGGATGTTGGTTTCATAGAGTCGCGGTGTAGAAATATAAAAAGAAAAAAAATATATACAAATTAAAATATGACTTTGGTGCAAAAAAAATTTAGAAGCACGTTTTGGACCAATATCAAAAAAAAATTTGTTAAATTGATGAGCTATAACATTAGGTTCATAAGTGTTTTAATTATCAACTTTAATCATCTGGGGGTAGAGAGGTTTGTGTTTGTTTTCCAGTGATTTCTTTCATTATTTCCCAATTGTGTTTAGAGTTATTTTTAGCTTTATCAAGTCGTTTTAAGTAAATATTTTTTTTTTATTTTCTTTCAAACTTTTTAAAACAAATATTTGTAGGCTTTGTATAACTTTTCAGTCGCAGGTGAATTTGTTTTTAAATATACTCATTTTGGCTTCTATTTTGTTTTGATGGTTCTTTAAATCCCTTCGAATTCCAAAGAAAATTTATGTTTTTTAAGCCCATCGTCTTTTCACAAAGTAAAAAACTAGCGTATTAAAAGAAATAAAAATTTTTAAGAAAAGTTTTCGTAAACAAAGTTTGAGTTAATGCGTCCAATGCAGTCATGATAATTATTAACGATAGCTATCGCAATAATAGTTAACGATAATTATTATTTTAATAGTTCTATTTATCAAGTTCAAAATTTATTTTTTGTTTCGTTTTATCGTAACTTCAGAAATTGAGCTTATTGCTAGGAAATTTGGGATATAGTCAGATATACCTTTATTAAATCTTAAATGTTTATTTGTTTATTATAATGTTTATAAACAATACAATTTTCATATATATACATAGCCATAGATATAGTTAACGATACTTGATTAAATATGAACTCAATTTTAAACTATATGTTCGAACAATAAAGTTGTTCTAATATTTAGTGAACTTTTTTGGATATTATTGTTAAAGATATCTATTGTGATGATGTCAAAATGACAAAAAAATCTTTTCTTTTTTGTAAACTACTTTAAATTTTATTATAATCTACTTAGTTTTCCACAACAAAAAATTAAATAAATAAAAATAACTAAATAATTTTTGTTGACAGTTAATCTTAAATACATTTAATCCTTACTTTTAAAATAAAATGGACACATGCTGATGCAAAAATGTGCACATGCTGAAACAAAAAAAACAAAACAAGAATGCTGAAACAAAAAATAAACCGATTGAAATTATTTTTTCTATAAATTAATTAACGTAATGAATTATAGATTTTAAATTCAATAGTGTTTGCATTACATTAAAAAAAAGTTAAAAAAAGAGATGTTACGAGCACGGTTTAACCTAAATTTTCTTTAATATGGGCCCCTAATTAAAAGTTTATTAGTACGTAATATAACAATTGTTTTTGTATTTTTTTTCAAACTCACTTTTTAAACATACTTTCTTTATTATAAAAGTTTTAAGATTTTCGTCATTTTAACTCTACCTGTTGGTTTTCTGATTCCGCATTTTAGTTCTATCTGTTAGTTTTCAATTTTAACTCTAGCCGTTAGTTTTAACTTTATTTTTTTAACTCTTCTCGTTAGTTGTAACTTTATTTTTAACTCTACCTGTTAGTTTCTAACCAAAAAGTCTTTTGGCCCTAAATAAAAATATATCTATAAATAAAATTAAACGTTTTTTCACGCCTCTAAGACCTTATTGAACTTTGTTACTGCTAAAAATAAAGTTCTTTTATATTTATACTAATCCATAATGAAAAAAACTTTAAATTTAGTAAAAAATAAAAAAGTTGGTAAGATGCAAAGTAGAAAAAATGTTTGGTAGGCGTGAAAGGTTTTAGCTTAACTAAAATTAGTTTAACTTGAAAGTTTGTTAAAGCTAATCTAACTTGTTAGTTTGTTAAAGCTAGACTAACTTGCAAGTTCGCTGAAGCTAGACTAACTTGATAGTTCGCTAAAGTTAGTCTAACTAGTTAGTTCGCTAAACTTAACCTATCTTGTTAGTTTGCTGAAATTAGCCTAACTTGTTAGTTTGCTAAAATTACACCACTAAGTTTTTAGTTCGCCTAGATTAGTCGAATAACTTCTTAATTAGCTAAAATTAGCGGACTAAAATTAGTCAAACTTACATTTATTAACTAACTTTGTTATTGTAACTAAAATTATTCGCATAAAAAGAGATTTAGTGGAATAAGAACCTGAATAACCTAACATAAAATTTAATATACGAGATTTATAAAAGTAGTTTACTGAGGTGGACTATTTTGTCTTAAACGCTTCGTTCTAATTTATGGTTCTTTGGGCCCTATGAAATCAAGTTCATAACGCATAAAACTATACATGCAAATATTTTCGTATGTAACATTCTGGCTTTCTTTGCGCTAACTTCAGAAGGTT